GTCTGTGTGACAGTCTGATGCAGAGTTATGAGCTAACAAAGTTTGATCCAATGTTAAGCCTATGGGATTTTTCCGACAGTCCCGGGACGTTTTTCGGAAAACCGAAAGTCGGATCAGTCTGAGGAGATATAGCAACACGAGTCAGAATAGTTTGGAGGTCTGGAGCAAGTTTGGTGGTAATAGCTCAAAAGCTCTAGGAGGAGATAGAGTTAGAAATTTAGTCTCAGAAGATTAATAAAAAAAAAAAAATAATAATAATAAGTTTAAATAGCATTTCAGTAGTCTGGCTTTGACAAGCCAGCCTAATAATAATAATTGCAACAATATAGTTTAAATATGTACCAATATTTTTTTATCATAGCCTTTTCTTGGCAAAAAAGTAATAAAAAAGGAGTAATTTCCCGAAAATACAGAAAAACTACTCATTTACTTCTGTTTAGTTGTTAAGGAATTTTTAACTATTGTTGTTACTTACTTTAGAAAATTATAGCATTTTCAAACGCATGTTACAAGTGACTTAAGCTCACAACTCAAGCATTTGTCAAGCCAGTCAGTGTTTCTGACTTCATATTCATTTATATGTATATACATATTATTTATAAATAAAAAAGTAACACCTACTGACAAATTTACACCAAAACAAGTTACACCAACACAAGTAACACCAACTGACAAGTTTACACCAAAAAAAGTAACAGCATCTGACAAGTTTACACCAAAACAAGGAACACCAACTGACAAGTTTACACCAAAACAAAGTAACACCAACTGACAGGTTTACACCAAAACAAGGAACACCAACTGACAAGTTTACACCAAAACAAATAACACCAACTGACAAGTTTACACCAAAACAAGGAACACCAACTGACAAGTTTACACCAAAACAAATAACACCAACTGACAAGTTTACACCAAAACAAATAACACCAACTGACAAGTTTACACCAAAACAAATAACACCAACTGACAAGTTTACACCAAAACAAGGAACACCAACTGACAAGTTTACACCAAAACAAATAACACCAACTGACAAGTTTACACCAAAACAAATAACACCAACTGACAAGTTTACACCAAAACAAATAACACCAACTGACAAGTTTACACCAAAACAAATAACACCAACTGACAAGTTTACACCAAAACAAGTAACACCAACTGACAAGTAACACTTTCATATAATCTTCAACATCAAATGTAATGCTTGGTGAGTGTTAATTCTAAGTACACATTTTCAACATTGAATTATTATTATTATTATTATTATTATTATTATTATTATTATTATTATTATATTATTATCAGAGTGATTTAATCTGACATTATTATGCAAAAATGAATCCAGAATTGGCACTGCATTTCATCATTTACCCTTGCCACAAAAGGGGCGGGGCTAACGACTGCTGTGGAATGTTGAGAGGCAGGCAATATACTCTGATTGGTCAGTTAACGGTGGCATTTAAGGTTAAAGATCACAGCGCTGTTTGATGGATGGCTGCACACATTCAGAAGCTGTGAAATGGTGACATAGCTGAGATAGCTGAACCTTTGCACCCTCACACACACACAAATGGACTATGCATGCTCACACACAAGCGGACAGTCTGTGTAACTGGCCATGGATGGTTTGCATTAGCAGGAATGTTCCTGAAAACACTGGTGTAAATGAAATCTGAAGCGGTGTTTGTTAAAGTGAATGTTCACCGAATGCTTAAAATTCAGTCGCCATGTACTCACCATCCAAACCTTTTTGCGTTGCTTTTATTTGCTGAACATAAAGAAGATACTTTGTAGAATGTTGGAAATGGGTAGCAATCACTTATATAGCATTTTTTCTGTCACATACAAGTTTTAAATACTCCCGTTGATGCCCCTGCGTGTGTTTTTATGTGACCATTGCATTAAGGTTTCCAGGGCAATAAAGTTTTATCACATGACACGCCACTGCCCTGTTAATTTAAGCATATTTTGTTTTTGTTTCTCTTTTCATTTTAATAATAAGTACTGGCATGTTGGATATATTGCAAATATTGGAGTAATAATTACTGTGAAATGTGCTATACAAATAAACTTGAATTGAAAGAATGTTACACCATATTTATTATGTAAATTTCTGAATATTCTGTACGGTTACCATTATTTATTTATTGCATTTATACTGCCTACAATCAAAAGAATGTTTATGTTGTTATTGTAGGATTTAATTATTCCTTTGCTTACTGATGACTGACCAGGTTATATCTGGGTTGTAAAGAGAGAAAGAGACGGAGTGATGCAGTTTTTTTACCGTCGTTCCATATTGCATTGATATATAAAGATAAAAGATTGTTCCTGCTTTGAACAACAAATAAAAAAAACAAGAAGAAGATAATAACAACTTGGATAAGTTCATCGCATCAGACTGGTTGCTATAAGGATCTTATATTTCAAGCTGGGTTAATGGAGTACCATTATAATGAATATTGACAAACATCCTAATTATTTTGTGAGATTTTATATCATTTTAGCAACTTAATAATGATCGTTTTAAATCCATGGTGGGTTATTGTCTCAGTGATGTTAGTCTGCACTGCAAGGAAAAATGAGAGGTGCTGGATTTCCAACATGATAGCTAATCAACTTCTCTTAAAATACATGAAAGTAAGTGGCTGATTAACTGGGAGAAGCACAGAGTAAATATTCATGTAACCTTAACAGTGTGTATATGATGTGATTGTAGCACATCCTCTGTTTATGTTAAAATAATTATAATTGCCACCTGCATAATTGACATCTTGCTAGTTCTTATGTGTATTTAAATGTCTTATAGCTAAAATAAACAGTATTTGTTTGAAACTGCTGATAAATTGTAATTTGCGGCAAGCAGTAAGAGTCATTGCGGAAAAGCAGATTTGAATTTAGCAGCTGATCACATGGGGCACTAAAGGCTTTAATCTCACCAATGTAATCGTACACTTCATGAACCAGACAAGACTGATCACATTGTTGTGAAAGAATTATAGATGTCAATTCTACCAGTTGCCAACATTCTTCAAAATATCTTCTTTTGTGATCAACAGAAAAAAAGAAACTCTAAACGTTTTTGAACCACTTAAATAATTTCTAGTTTTTTGGTAGAACTATCACTTTAACTGCATGTCCTGTAAAACGGGTGTAAATATTGTCTGATTGGATTTGAATGTGCATCAGTGCGAGTGTTTGTAAGTAATCAGACAATAGCTGTTCAAATTGCTTTCCTAATTCTCTCTCAGATGCAGCGCACAACTACATTATGTAGCCATTATGTGCACATAAATTACAGGAAGGAGCCGGAGCGGTGTTCCTCGCTGTATTAGAGCATAAACAACAACTGCAGGCATTGGCTGGAAAACTAAATAAAATATTGATGATAATAATAATAAAATATTTAATATTTAGATCTATAGAGTATTATTAGATGGACTGTAGAAGCTGGATAGGAGAAAGGATGGAAGGTGAGTTAGAGAAACTGACAGATATACAGTTGCAGATTTAACGCTTTGTTGACAGTTGGAGAAAATCGAAGAAAAGAACGGACAGACAGAAAGAAAAAGATGTTTTTGAACAATATTTATGGTCAGATATTTGATTTATTACGGATTTATTAATGTATTATATTTAATTGATTTATTTCAGTATTGTTTTTTTAATGACTTTAATAAAAAATATACCTTTTTTTTTTTAGCTGTGCCTTTACAAATTAAGCACTGTGCTACATCTGACAACCACACTGTCTTTCTTTCTATTTTCACTCTTTAAAAACCTGTTTTAACACATTTTAAATTTGTAATTTTTAAATAATTGTATTCTTTATATCCTTTTATTCTTATACTGTACTTGTTTCTTTTATTCCTGTTTATGTAAAGCATGTTGAATAACCATTGTGTATGAAATGTACTATATAAATAAACTAGCCTCGCCTTGCCTTTTTTATTTGATTATTATTTGAGTTATTTTATTATAGAAAACTTAATATAAACTTAATGATAATAATTTTCTAATTTTTTATGTGATGCAAAAGCTGGATTTTCAGCATGATTTCTCCAATGTTACAGTTTCATCAATGATCCTGCATTACTAATTATTAGTTTTTAAAACATTTGTGCTGCTTAATATTTAGGTAAAAATGCTTTTTGTAGAATGTGAAATTGAAATCTGTAGTGTGAAAGTCTTTATGTGACTCTTTAGCATTAAACCTGTATACATACAAGATGTACACTGTATGGGTTAAAATTATATAATTATATATATATATATATATATATATATATATATATATATACATTGTCCCTGTATAAAAAAAAAAAAAAAAAAAAAACTAATGAACCTTATTGTAAAGTGTTATCATATATATATATATATATATATATATGGTAACACTTTACAATAAGGTTCATTATTTTTATTTATTTATTCATTTTTACACAGGGACAATGTACAACATGACATGTCGTGCCAGAGTTAGCTATAAAGCTAATTTACTACTGTATTTTGACTAACTAACATTAACTAGCATGAACAAATACAGTAGTAAATGTACTGTTCATTATTTGTTCATGTTAGTAAATGCATTAATTAACATTAACTAATGAACCTTATTGTAAAGTGTGACCATATATTTTATGCCAAAACTCATAAGAATATAAAGTAAAGGTCATGTTCTGTTAATATATTAATTAAATTTCCTTTTGTAAATTATATATTTGAGAAAAACCATAATAATTAGATTGATAAGCACTTTAAAGGTGATTTTCTTAATATTTGGATTTTGCTTAAAACTTCAGACTTGATTTTCAAATCAAGGTTTAATTAGGTTTTATAATGTATAAATCTTAATGAATATAATTTAACAATAATAACACTTCTGTGGTCCTGGGTCATATAATGTTGTTATTGATCATTTTTATTTACCCTTGTTGAACCCCAAGCCCCAAATGTCTATAGTGACTTACAGATTGTTTGTCTGGCTCTGTCAGTGGCAGGTGGAGGCTCAGGAGTATTGCCCCAATGCAAAGCTGGTGCTGGTCGGCTGTAAGCTGGATATGAGAACAGATGTTAGCACCTTAAGGGAACTGTCCAAACAGAGACTCATACCTGTCACTCATGAACAGGTGAGTGTATATATACAAACACTCACACAAATGTTGGCTTTGGTGGTTTATGAGGACTCTCCATAGGCATAGTTAATTTTATACTGTAAAAAACAATTACAATATCTCCTTACCCTACCCCAAACTTTGCAATTTTTTAATGTGAAAAGAACCGGTTAGGTATGATTTTTTAATTCAAGACATGTCCTCATAAAACACTTCAACATTTTAATAGGTCATACATGTTAGTAAACAAATTTGTATTCTCATAAACCACCCAAAACAGTGTTCACACAATATGATATGATATTAGTGTTTACCCAACAGCTACTGCACAAATTTAATGACATAGACAAAAACTAGCCATTTAAAGTGATAGCTCACCCAGAAATTAAAATGATATGTTCATTTACTATATTGCAAATAATTTTGCTCCAAGAGGTTTTTTGTAGGTATTGGCATGTTTGAAGTGTGTTCCAATCAGTGGTGGAAAGAATACTGAACAATCTTATTCAAGTAGAAAAATCATTACTTGTCTAAAAATGTAGCGCAAGTAGAGTAAAAGTATCTGTTGTAAATATTACTCAAAGTAGACCTTTTAAAAGTACTCTACAGTAGTGAGTATTAGGTTAGATTTAGGTTGTGACATCAGGCGACCAAAATTCAATGACTAGCCAGTGTTTAAGAACAACGTTATTTTGATGTCCAATAATGTCGAGCCAACATCTTAAACCAACATCATATTGACGTCAAATATTGAAATTCATTCGTCAAGTTTGACAACCAAAAGCCAACATCTGATAGATGTAATAGTGGTAACATCCACACAATGTCAACCTGTAACATTATTCAACATAGATTTTTGGTTGGATTGACGTCAGCCTGACATTGAGTTCTGATGTGAACCTGATTTTCATTTCCAAACAAAATGCAATATCCCTTTTACATTCCTTTTACATGGATAGATAGGGTAGAGCTTGGGCCAATAGATTGTTTTGTTTTATTTATTTCTATTGTTTGGACGATGCCTGCGTCTCCAACTCTCCCATCTATCTGTTCAAACATCGTGTGTCCCATTTGTTTGTAAATTTCAAAATATCCTTGTAAATATTTAATGTTTTTTATATACATATTTTTGCATTTATTATTATTACCATCTTTGTAAATAAACTCACTTTATTGCACTTATTTAGTATTGGTATTTTGTCCCTCACATGTTGATATTGTGTTTGCGCTTATGTCATCTTTAAAATCGTAACAATCCCTATGACGTTGGGGTACAATGTCAATCTGATGTCATGTTGATGTCTTGTGCCTGCTGGGTTTTCAAGGCCATTTCGGTCATCATACAGTAAACATCTGTCATCTTCTCATCAGTGACATGCATCTAAACAGTCTCTGGGTCAATGCGTGTAAAGATTTTGAACATCTTCTTGGACACTTTTCTAAAATTTTGCTGTGATTTTAAAGCGCCCATGTATTGGGATAGTTCATTATGATGCAATTTACCTTCTATGTGCGATTTGATTGGACAAGAATCACAGGACGGATTTTTCTAATCCTCAAAAGACAGGAAAAAAATCAAGTAGTGACAGCAGGTTGAAGGAAAGTAGTGGAGTAAAAGTACCAATACTGAACTAAAAATGTATTCAAGATAAAGTAAAAGTACACATTTTTAAAACTACTTAGTGAATAACAGTTAGAAGAAAAACTGCTCAATTACAATAAATTGAGTATTTGTAATTTGTTACACCACTGGTGCCGATTTTCGTACATGTGTATGAAACGTAGCTTGGTGGCCACTCTGTCAAACATGCATACTGTAGGTTGCACTGTTGAGCCAGTTTGCCACATCCACCTCCGAAATCTATATCAAACGTAATTTTTTGACACTACTGGTGTGTGTGCAACATTTTGTGAGTTTTAAAGCATGTTTGGACCCTCAAAAATGTGATTTATTCTAGAGAAGAAGAAGAACAATAAACGGAGCAATATCAATAGGGTCTACTGATAGTGCTCGGTCTCTAATAAACAGTAAATAAAAAAGATGCAAAAGTATCACAGAATGGTCTTATGTGACACGTCAATTCTTCTGGGAAATCAAAAAAGTGATGTATTATTTAAACGAAACTGCAAGTTATCATTTTCATCTGTAGAATTTTATAAGTTGTTGTCTTGATTTGTCGGAAGGTGCTTTTTCTGGAGCCCAGTCTGAATTATAAGAACAGAATTTTAAGAACACACAGTCAAGCATTAACTTTAGGTATATGTCACAACAAACCCTAAAGCATAATTAAATACTATTGGTAATACATTTATTTTACTTAGGCAGTACATGAAAATGTTGCTCAAAATATGTTTAGATGAATTCTAGCATCGCACACTGCAGTATCACAGCTTGAAACATCACATCAACCGCTCTTAAATTGTATCTGAAACTTAAGTGCGCACAGACTAAAAGAAAGCTCTATAATTATACACAGAAACAAAACTGAGAGCGAGAGAGAGAGAGCAGCAGAAAATGTTTCTGCAACATTTCATTAGCAAACACACAGTTTCTCTATAAATTTACTCTGTAATGAGAATAATAGACTGCGCAATTCTGTGTCCGCTACTTTTATTATTTTAAGCATTAGATGCAGAAGACAAATAGACGTGAATGTAGACCTTTTGATGGGAAAAACAGAGAGTTTCAGGTAATATTTTTGTTCCCTACCTGATGAATGCGTCATTAAATTATATAAAAAAGAGTGAAAACAAAAGAAAGGTGAACATGGATGCTTGTTTAATGCAATACTAGCTAACAATAAATATATATAAAAAAAAGCCATTTAAGCCTATATAATTATATTCATAGGCAGCACGGTGGTTAAGTTAATCTCAGAGCAAAAAGGTCGCTGGTTCGAGTCCAGCTGGGCAAGTTGGCATTTCTGTATGGAGCTTGCATGTTCTTTCAGTGTTGGCGTGGGTCTAAAGACATGCGGTATAAGTGAATTAAAAGTTGGCTGTGGTTTATGAGTGTGTGTGCATGTGAGAGTGTATGGTAGAGCTGCACAATTATTCAAAAAAAGACCAGTTTTGATTCGACCCCCTAGATGATCTTAATCTAGCATTTCTACGGTTCTGTCAATCATATTTTCTAGTTCAGTAGTAAAGAAAAGGCGGCCGCACATGTTTTCATATTGTTTTACATATGTTGCTCAATGACATGGACACCTCCAAATAGTGTTGAAAGTGTCACAAATGTATTTATAAGGTACAATTCAATCAAAAATGTCATTTCTGTCTTCATGTAATGATGTATTCGCGGCCACGAAATCACATGTGATGTGAGCTGCTGACCGTGAGCTGTTACCACAAAGAGGGCGGGCGCGCCCTACTCAATGATAAACGCGTGCGTCTACTTTAGAGAACAGAACCTGCATAGTCTGTGAATAACAAGTAAAAAAGTTGTAAATAACATTCAGTTTGTGGCACAGAGCGATCATTGGAAGATGCGCGGGAAGAATGAACAGCACTTAGCAGTGAAAATGAAACCGAAAGCAGAGTAATTTTAGAGTAAGGATTACGACAAGCATATTATATGTTTTTCTTTCATAGCGAACACAGTGTTGTGCATGAGAGTAAATGTTTAACAATGTCACTACAACTACTCTAGCATATATAATGTTTAATATAATGCAAGAGGGAATCTTATAATGACAAATGTCTGATTTTACCAGTGACTAAATAGTCTAATAATGTTCTCAACAACATATTGCAAACAAATGACTCAAACATAATAATTCAACATCAGAAATATGAATAGTTGTATTCTGATGTCATCACTTTACTCTGCATTAACGACCAGGACAAATTTAAAGTCTATTCAAGTCCACCATTCGAATTATTAATTATTTTCGTTGTTATAATAATTATTATTGTTGTTTTACCATATGTTTGTAAAATAGCAATAGCCTTCTCATATTAAGCTTTATTTTACATCTATCTATCTATCTATCTATCTATCTATCTATCTATCTATCTATCTATCTATCTATCTATCTATCTATCTATCTATCTATCTATCTATCTATCTATCTATCTATCTATCTATCTATCTATCTATCTATCTATATATATATATATATATATATATACACTATCTATATATATATATACAGTCGAAGTCAGATTTATTAGCCCACCTGAATTATTAGCCTCCTGTTTATATTTTCCTGAATTTCTGTTTAACAGAAAGAAGATTTTTGCAACACATTTCTAAACAATAGTTTTGATAACTTATTTATAATAACTGATTTATTTGATCTTTGCCATGATGACAGTAAATAATATTTGACTAGATATTTTTCAAGACACTTCTATACAGCTTAAAGTGACATTTAAAGGCTTACTAGGTTAATTAGGTTAACTAGGCAGGTTTAGGTAATTAAGCAAGTTATTGTATAATGATGGTTAGTTTTATATTCAATCAAAAAAAATTGCTTAAAGGGGCTAATACTTTTATCCTTAAAATCCTCAAAACTTGTCAGTGTTTAATCATTATGTTTAAACTGTGCTCGCTGCATATCCCTCTTTCATTATGTAAGAACATATTGGATGAAAATTGTTAACATGTTAATCAAAACACTTTTAGATGAGTAAACTGCAGCTTTATGTGGTGTTTGGTTGTTTATTAAAAAAATAACAAAATAATTGTTCATTAATCGTAATGCAGTTAATACGTTCAATTAATCAAGATTTAGATTTTACACCAAATCACCCAGCTCTAGGAAAGTATTTTTTTCTTTAGTTTCATTACAAGTTTTACAAGCTATTGGTATGTAAACATAATTCTTTGAGCCTCTTTAACCTGAACAATTTATATTAATAAAATCTTTTAAACACTAGAAAATCAATGCTGTCATTGCATTTGGAGCACAGTGGTAGATCTTCATTTGACATTAAGAGCTTGAGTGTGATTCTGGAATATTATTCAGCATTATTTAGACATGATCTGATCACAGCGACTGTTAAAAGAAAAATGCATCTTTAACCCAGAATGATTCATTTAATAACATGTGTTGTTTATACAATGATCCCATTCAGTTTGCCAGTTATTTGATAATGTAAGACATTTCTGGCACTTTTACAGTCTAAAGGGAGGTGAAGAAAAACAGCCGAGGGAACGATAGAGCGTGTTTATTTTTTGCTTTGACATTTGGTTCGTCTTTTTTGCTGTAGGCTAATGCATACAAACACCAAAAAAGGGTTTTCTTTTTGTAGAACGCGAGCGAGAAAACAGTGACAAGGGAACTGTGTTTTTGTTCGAGAAAGCAAATGCTCCTGAATAATTCTGACAGTACAATGACTAAGCATATGACAGTATCAATTTTTATTTGTTGTGATAATTTCTGAAGCTTTTATCATGAAATACGATATTATTATCACAATATTGACATAAGCTGGAACTGTTGTCATTATACTGTTACTTATACTATATTTTTGTAAACTGCTTTCAGACTTTCCTTTTATTCAAAAGGATAATAAAGTACAATATGCAACACTTGCCAACAAGAGCTCATAAGTAAACATTGCATTAACTAGCGTAAATAGCAAGACATATCGGTCAGAATTTATTTTAGGGTACAATTATCGCTATTAATAAAGCATTAACCATGACTTTTGCATAAATAATCTCTTAATTTGCTACTTGTTAATAGTTACAGTATTAGTTGGGTTTAGGAAATAGGGATGGAGAATAAGATCATTCAGAACATGCAATTTACAAGTTATAATAAACAGCCAATTAGTTAGTGAGAATTGGTACTTAAAGAGCCCCTGTTTTGCATGATAAAAGGTCATATTTTGGTTTAGGGGTTTCCAACAACATGCTGATATGCATGCAAGGTCAAAAAACATTTTCATTGTCTCATAATATGCATTTATTTTTACCTAATTATCCCAGCGACTCCCGTATGATTCCTTCAGCGATTCATTTGTTCCCAAACCTCTTCTTAGCCTAAAGCTAATCTGCACTGATTGGACCGATGGGTCAGTCTGTTGTGATTGGTCGACTGGGTTCAGTACGAGACAGAGAGAAATGCCCAACACGGCTACAGTATGAAGTTGCAAAAAAGTATGTGAGAGCCCAATGCAGAATTGCAATAAAGCAATGCAGTTAAACACCAGCGTATTACTGTACTCTTAAACATAACCCTAAGAAAAATACGGTCTAAAGTCCAGCGCAGAGTGCATTAGTTATGCAACTTTGCAGTTTCAAAAGCTTAATACACACAGGACCTACAGCAATACACAAATATCTTTACATATGAAAAAAAAAGTGAAGGATTAAAATGATTATTTACTACATAAATATAGAAACCTTCTTCGTTTTAGGGGGCTTTTTCAGATCATTCAAGACAATTCACATTTTTATTATAATGTTTTTATTATTAGCAGTATTATTTACTAGATGCATATTTATATTTTATTTATTAAAAACAAGTTTAGATTTGTCCACCTGTCAGGTTATGGAGATGTATATTTATCATCATATGGGGGAATAGGTATAGGATTTTTTTGACCACACTATTTATTATTGTTTATTTATTTGTTTGCTGGAAATTAGAACTGAATTTAGACATAGCTTTTAAACAAATCTTTGCACTTAATAAATAAAAAAATTATATGTGCAGGCTAATGGATGTCTTCAGATGGAGAGCCTACAACACCATTTCCTTACTCTAAGAAAGTAATGGAGTAAAGAGTAAAAGTAAAGTAAAGAGAAAGAGGCCGAATGGAGGAGGCTTGTTCTTTATCCTCGTGCTTCAGATGGTCTGTTTAACCGTTTTTACACTAGTAAAGCGTTCAGTTTTTCCACTTATAAAGTTCACCATGTAAATGGCAAATGTGCCATGGTGTGACGCAGCTGGCTCTTAAAGGGAATGGTAGATGAGTCTGATGGGAGATGAGATTGGTTTAATGCATGTTATGCTCAAAACACACCCACAACTCATTAAGAAAATAAGCCCAACCCTGTTAGACCATGTGTCGGGGCACAAACCATATTTTTCACAGACCTTAAAATAGCAAAAGTGGATTCTGACACTTCCTCAATGCCTTTGTGCCATGAGCTTTAGACTTTGCGCTTAGATCCGTAAAATAGAGCCCTAAATGTTTGCACCTTGACATAGATTTTTAATATAATTAGCTCAGAAAAAAAACATCTATTACCTGCTTAGTTTAGTATGATCATAACATAAACAATTAAACTGCTGAAAAAAATAATATTTTGCAAGTTAGTTATCTCAAAACATTATCGCAACACCAAACAACAATACTGCATGTTACCCAGTATTATGCACCTCAAATTATAAGAATATCACTCATGTTTATAATAATGATATATACTATTACTGAAAATCAGCAACACAAGTCTAACTTCTGTCTTTCTGTCCACCAGGGGAGTCTCCGAGCACGAGAGTTGGGCGCAGTTGCTTATGTGGAGTGTTCATCCCGAATGTGTGTAAACAGTGTACGGGACGTCTTTCACATCACCACACTGGTGTCGGTAAGACGTGAACCTGCCCCAAGCCTGAAAAGGAGCACCTCGCGCCGCACTCTCAAACGCATATCCAATCAGCCTTTGCTGCCAGTCACCTCACAAGCCACGCCCCTCGAAGCCACACCCACCCTCAGGGAGGACAGAGCCAAGAGCTGCACCATCATGTAGTAGACCAATGCTCTACATCAGTATAAAACAGACAGATTCTCCAAACATACGAGACATTGAGGCTCATACTGAGGCCTACGGGACTGTACAGCTGTGTGAATACATTATACAGAGGAGCTCTATTTATTAACTTCAAGTTTGCTTTTATTTTTATCATTGTGGTATGACTTAGCAGACCTAAGTGTGTAAAGCAGATGCAAAGGAATAATAATAAAACAATGGTTTGGGATTTAATGTTTGGACAGCTTTGATGTTTAGTATTACAAAAACAAATTCTCATCTCTGGAGATTACGGATCTGAAACACGCTCATCCGTGTGGCACTAAATCTCTGGAATTCTGGAGTTCTGAGAATCTTTGGCCAGCTTTAGTCACGATTAGCATCAGCGTTAGTGCCACAAAGACATCTGTGACTTCTGCTGTTTGCTCCTTTACATGTGTGACAGCACCATCAGTCATGCTCTGACTTTACAAAGACTTCATTCACACTATAGTGAAACACCAACGCAAATGCTGTCTAAAGAACAGAAGGGGTATATGAGCAACAATTTCAGTAGTTTACGGGAGAACTGAGAGATTTATTAATCTTCTAGGTTACAGACAGGGAGTGTTGTGTCATTATTTACTCATCCTCAAGTCATTCCAAACTTGTATGACTTAGCTTTTTCGATATATTTATAATTCTGTTGGGTGAAGTACTTTTTTAAACTGTAGTGACAGAAGGTTCATGATGTATTGGCGTAAATGGGACAAAATACTAGTTTGATTGCAGCATTGCTGTTTAATATTTTAGCTACTTTCATTCAATCATTATTCTTCGGCTTAGTCCCTTATTTATCAGGGTTGCCACAGCGGAATGAACCGCCAACTATTCCGGCAAATGTTTTACGCAGCAGATGCCCTTCCAACTGCAACCCAGTATTGGGAAACACCCATACATTCATTCACACACTCATACACTACGACCAATTTAGTTTATTCAATTCACCTATAGCGCATGTCTTTGGACTATGAGGGAAACTGGAGGAAACCCATGCCAACATGAAAAGAACATGCAAACTTCACAAAGAAATGCCAATTGGCTGACTCGGGACTCAAACCAGCGAACTTCTTGCTGTGCGGCGACAGTGCTAACCACTGAGCCACCCCTGTTTCAGCTACTTCCAGAAATATATTCGGACAAGAAATGATTTAATAACTGGGGATGTACTGATGGGGAACGTGTCAGATGATGTGAATGACGCCAATCAAAACCCCCATGGCTAACTTCTGAAGTGGTTCAGTGAGCAGTAATTTGATTTCTTATCTGGCTAATATAATTATCTGCCAAAATATTTACTCATGTTGTTCCAAACCTCCTCACTGGCCACTTTATTAGGTACACCTTACTAGTACCGGGTTAGACCCCCTTTTGCTTTCAGAACTGCCTTAATCCTTCATGGCATAGATTCAACAAGGTACTGGAAATATTCCTCAGAGATTTTGGTCCATATTGACATGACAGAATCACGCAGTTGCTGCAGATTTGTCATCTGCACATCCATGATGCAAATCTCCCATTCCACCACATCCCAAAGATGCTCTATTGGATTGAGTTCTGGTGACTGTGGAGGCCGTTTGAGTACAGTCGGAGATGATTCCCGCTTCATGAATTATGCTGCTTGAAGTAGCCATCAGAAGATGGGTACACTGTGGTCATGAAAACTGCTTGATAATAGACACTTTATACTCTATTTTTAAACAAAATTAATTTTGTGTGAACTACCAATTTCAGCTATACTGAATTTTCATTGTGCCAAAACACTATTTTGATCACAGCTAGCGGTATGTTAGCTCTGTGGTTAGCACTGTCGCCTCACAGCAAGAAGGTTGCTGGTTTGAGTGCCGGCTGGGCCAGTTGGCATTTCTGTATGGAATTTACATGTCGTCCCCCATGTTCACCTTAGTTTCCTCCAGGTGCTCCGGTTTACCCCACAATCCAAAGAGTGAACTGGGTAAACTAAATTTCCTGTAGTGTATGAACGTGTGTGTGTGAACGTGAGAGTGTATGGGTGTTTCCCAGTACTGGTTTGCGGCTCAAAGGACATCCGCTGTGTAAAACATATGCTGGAATAGTTGATGGTTCATTTCCCTGTGACTACAACTGAAAAATAAGGGACCAAGTTGAAGAAAAGATGAATGAATGAATGATTATGACTATGGTCCAGTATTTCAGCAATTTTTCAAACATGTAATAAGATAATAACATCAATGTTTATGTGCAGTTAAAAGGTTTTGAATCAATGAGAATTTTAAAAATGACATAATGTTAAGATTTTCATATTCAAAAGATCTTCGTACATGGATTACTCAATTAGCTGGATATGGTTATTGAAGATTTGACACGATCCAGATTTGTGTCAGTTTTCAGAACACATCCAAAAGTTGTTGACATAGCAACAGTTCTGGTAGCTTAAACCTGTTTGGGAGCAGGCTTTTTTCATATAAACAGGATTAGATCGGGTCTTTTCAAATTAAGGAAAATACTGAAAGTAGATACCAAATTCTGATATTACAGTAGTAGTTATATACACTTGGGAAAATAGAAATAAAAAAATACAAATTTAAAAAATATGTAAAAGTTGCAAGTTTAAAGTTTAAAAAAGTATACAAATAAAACTTATGCAAACTTCACTTCGAAACAAAAGTAGAAAGACTGTCATGGGGTGGTTCTCCCCAAGGGGTTCAAAGAGAACATATATTAATATGGAATTTTTGGATAGAAACATGTACTTTTTTAAGGTACCGACTCAGCTTTAGTACAATTTGTGTATGATAATAGACGTCCAATATTCAACAGTTTTTTTTTTTAAAGGAATAATGTTTTATGCAGTCGTGCATGTTTTTTGACGGCTAATATGACAGTGATTTGATGCTTCACAAAAGTTGCAGATGCCTTTACTAATATCAAAATGTTTTTTGATGAAAAATTTATTTAAACAGCCAGTTATTCCTTACGCAGATTACGACACTTAAATAGGCCAAGGCTACTATAATAAAGAAAATCTGCTCTGAGTGTAAAACTAAATCAATTGCTAAATACTCTCGACACATGAAATTGTAAAGCCTGCAGCCCACAGCAAAGGTGGAAAGGTGTTGCGTATCATATTTAACAAACTGTTTACTATGAATTTGATGTAATTTTGCTCACATGGATGAGTGAACATTAATCAGATGATGTCATTATGCTGCTGTGCTGTCAGCCATTTGTTGCATTGCTGATCATGGATTTGAGGATCGATAGATCAGTCCTTCACAACACACGCAGCAATCTCAGATCAGTTCATCCAGACATTTTAATCTGATTTTGAAGAACCAAAATAGCCAGAGATCAGTCAAGATTAAAATATCCAGGATCTGTCAAATCATCTTACATCATTTGAGCAAGCAAGGAAGAACGGACCCCTGATCAAAATGTGTCATTGTTTTAACAAAAACCATATCACCACATAATTGTTTTCAGCATTGATTCACTTTTTCTCATTCTAATGTATTTTGATATATATTTGAAGTTGATCAAAACCATTAATCAAACATATTAAACAACAACAATTCTGGTCTAACTTTGATCAGCTTTCATGATCCATTTCAAACGTCGACTATTGTACGCAGTAAAAAATGAAGCCTGGGTGAACAAGACTTTAAAATGCATTTGAACTGCTTTTAAACTCTCACAATGCCTCGATGCGTAGATTTCCCTTCTAAGTTCACAAAATGTAATCAAAAACAAACAACTGTTCCTAGTGGGCTTTACAAAAGTACACGGTAACAATTATAATTTAGCTTCAAAGTCATTTCACTCGTATTTAAAGTGTAAATGCCAGGAGAATGGGGAGTACTGTGTGCTTTATATGTCTCTTCCAATTTAGAATAAAACCATAATCCAACCTCAAAGAGAAGCAACTCAAGAAATCCGGCTTTGTGCAGCATTACAACGTTGTGGATGCAGCAAACAGTGGTTATTTCTGTATGCAAATTCTCAGAGAGCCAGTTAGATGCACGAAAGAGGAAAAAACCCACTAGGGCTTCATATCAGAAATATGCAGTCATTGCCAAGGCAACTGTGTACAGCCCTTTGTGACATCACAACAGAGCCGAGCATGAGGGGAATGCTGTTGCTGTGGTTTCTGAAGAAGTCCATCCATCTGAACAAACAGGGAAATATATTTGAACTGGTGTTCACACACACACACACACACACACACACACACACACTGCTCATCAAAGCACAAATGAAGGACGTGCTCCAACTAATCCTGTTTGAGTTCAAATCGTATTGGATGTTAAACTGCATGTTTGTATGTTCTTTTTTATTGGATACTGCATATAAGCACGTTCACATACTGACTCATACTGTCACAAACACACACACAAACACACAGAACACACCTACAAGCATGACCACAGAATCACACTCTAAAACACGTCATGCACTCACACAGACACATGTCATGCAAACAGACACACAAAATACATGCATGCACACACACTGTGCACACACACACACACACACACACCAAAAACACACATACAGTAAGTGCACCATGGCGCGCGCACACACACACACACACACACACACACACACACACACACACGCAGATACACATTTTAAACACAAACACACACATACGGACACACACATAGACAAACATAAACATAACCACAGGAGCACACTCATACAAAAACACATGTACACACACAGGCACAAACTACATGCATATATGCACACATATACACACACACAGACTTGCATACAGATACACACTCTAAACAGAAAATCAAACACTTGCACACAGAGACACACGCTCTAAACAAAAACGCATGTGCATGTGCACACACAACCACACACACACTACACATACTGTATGCACCCACAAGCTCACACAGACAGACACACACACTGCACATACTGAACCCAGACACTAAACCCAAAAACACACAACACAAAAATGCATAGACACAAACTTCAAACAAAGCACACACACACACACACACACACACACACACACACGTACACAGACACAATCTAAACACAAAAACACTGTCATGCCTGTACACAAACACACCCTACACATACACACAAGTGCACACAGACAGACACTCACACAAACTAAACAAGTACATGCATACAGACAAACTTGAAACACAAAAACGCACGCAGATTTACGCACACACACTACATGCACACACA